GACACCAGGATGGAAACCACCCAGGATGTGCCCAGCACAGCCACCATGGCACAGGAGCTGCCCCGGGACTTAATTATCACAGAGGAACGCACAGAAATTCAGGAAACCTCTGGAATCCTGGAGCTTGGAGAGGAGGAACAGCACGAGCAAAGAGCTGAGCCCAGAGCAGACCAAGGAGGAGCCCCTGCTCCCCCAAAACCCCAAGAAGAGCCCCCACAGGAGAGGAGCAAGCAGCCAGGCCCAGGTTTGCTCTTACCTGTGATCGTGGAGGGAGAGATGCTGGAAACCTCGAGGGAATCCACGAGGCCGGCCCAGGTCAGTGAATATTTTTTGCTATTTAGGCGATTTTTTTCTGAGCTATTTGTGGATGTTTGGTGCTAAATCTGTCTGAGATCCTCAGCACAGAGGGCAGCTGAAGCAGGAGGAGTGGATGTTGCAGTGGATTTGGCAAAGGAGCTGGTGATGTACAACTGGAAACACTCAGGGCTGAGTTGTGGCTCCTTTTGCTGGAGCATTACTGCTAAATGACTAACAAGTAAAACTCATTTTTTTTTTTTTTTGGCACTTTTGCTGCAACACCAAGAGATCTCTTGCCATTTATAAGCTTATGTTGGAAAAAGAACCATGTGTTTTATTTCTCCTGTAGTAAATCTTGTAGATAAGGCTGGCAAGTGGCGAGTCCACGAGCAGGAACGTTATTAACAAATTTCTCCTTTGGGGAAAAAAAAAACCAAAAAAAAAAAAAAAAGAATTTTATATAACACTTTTTGTCTCCTTTTCTGCCTGAGTTTGAAGCTTTGATTTCCTGTCTGATTCTGCAGATCAAGTTCAGCAAGAAGATGTGTCTGGAGCACGACCAGAGGCTGATATCTTATCTCTCCATGCTCCGAGACATCGAGATGAGAATCAAACGTGTGCAGCCAGCAGAGCAGAATTTGGCAGCCCTGCAGGACCTGAGGCAGCAAGCAGAGGTGAGAGAGGCTGGGCCAGGCTTGGCTGGTGTCAGACAGAGCTTTTCCCCCCTCTCCCCAGCTTGCTGGGGAAATAAACCTTTGTCTCAGGTTTAACAGGCTTTTATACCAAACCTCATCCCTCCTGCAACAGCCTGAGCTTGGCTGACAGGAATTTTACAGCCTGGAGAGAGGCAGGAGAGTGCTGGCAGCCTAGCAGGGCTGGAGGGGGGGATGGATTTTTCCAGGCTGAGTGTTTGGAGCTGCCTCTCCAAAAGCCCTGCTGGGTTTTGGCAGCAGGGAGGCGAAGTCACCCTGTGGTGCTGTCTTTTGTCTCAGGCTCTGGGCTCCGAGCTGCAGGAGCTGAGCTTCCCAGTGAATCAGGAGCTGGATGCCGTGCAGAGGATTGTGGCCAACCCCCCTGAAGAGGTCCCTGAGCAGTTACTGAAGGCTTTGGAGAAGGATGCCAAGAACCTCCACAAGTCTCTGAGCTCTGCAAGTGAGGTCCTGCAGTCCCGGCTGCAAAACCTTCGTGGGGCAGCAGAAGCTGAAAAGGTAGAGCTGAAAACTCCCCCCCTGCTGCCCCAAAAACTCCCTAAAATTCCTCTTTTAAACCACGAATTTCTGCTTTTTCAGGCTAAAATCCTGGCCCAGCACGAGGCTCTGGAGGGCAGGCTGCAGGAGCTGCTGAGCTGGGTCTGTGGCACCACGGAGTCACTGGATGACAGAGATTTCCAGCAGGCCACCGATGGCAGCAGCTTGAGTCAGTGCCTGCAGCACTACAAGGTAACCATGGCAATGCCCCTAATCCTGCAGCCTGCTGAACTTGCTGCCCTCTGCACACAGGAGAAGCTTTTAATCCTGCTTCCCTCCCAGGGTTTGCCCTTAGCTTGTGCTGCAGCAGGAGCTGCCGTGTTGGGTGTTCTCTCTAAAGTCATTTATTTCCGTAATACACATTATGATATATACACTTATAATTATATATATACATTAAAAGAGAAGCTTTTAATCCTGCTTCCCTCCCAGGGTTTGCCCTTAGCTTGTGCTGCAGCAGGAGCTGCTGTGTTGGGTGTTCTCTCTAAAGTAATTTATTTCCATAACACATTATAATATATACACTTAGATATTATATAAGTGTATAATTACACTTATATAATTATACAATAATATATAATATATAATATATAATATATAATATATAATATATAATATATAAGTGTATAATATATAATATGTAAGTGTATAATTATATAAGTGTATATAACATATATATATAAGTTATATACACTTATATATATTTTATTATTATTAAATATATTATTATTATACTTAATTGTATAATTATACACTTATATATTATATTATACACTTCTAGTATAAGTGTATATAACTTGTGTAATTATACACTTATATATTATATAAGTGTATAATTAAAATACATTAAAAGAGAAGCTTTATTTCCAAGCTTGGTAGTGGCTGCTCCATCACACCTGCCCTGGTCTCCATCACCTGTACGAGCAGCCCAGTCTCCTTAT